TTTTTTTTTTTTTTTTAACGTTATTTTCTTCTTTATTATTAAAAACAACGGCTCAATGGTCGTTAGGTTCTAAAAAAAGTAATGTCGCTCTTTCCACAAGTAGGGTGGGATCGGTACCGGAACAAAAAAACTCAAAGTGGCACTTCGACCATATGAGGCTCGACAATGTTCGACGCGCAGGTGGAAATTGGACTTGGCTTCAATAGCTGGGCGAGGTACTGGTGGTTTAAATAGTGATATTTACCTTACTTAGTGCGTCCTTTTCCTACCTTGTGCGGACTACTCTTCGTCCTCAAACGTTACAAATGAAGCAGTAGGCGAAAATGGTTCAGATGCATCCACTTACTTTCTGGTAAGGTTTTGGGACGTACCTCCCTCAATCGGCCTCAAATAAAATGCGAAATCGCAGGTACGAATAGGGTAAAACCTCCATGGACTCACAAAATCGCCTTGTGCCTGTGCATGGACTTGCCGCCAACTCCTTGTGTGCAACAGCTGTCGCAACTCAGTTGAAAGGCATAACGAGTGCACCCTTTCACTATTCATCTATAGCACTATCCTCGACGTCCCATCCGAGTTGGCCCCACTCCTGAGCCTGATCCTGGAACCAAGGTGAGTCCAAATCCCTGAGCTACAGTCTGAACCCCCAAATGCCGCAAAAAAACGCCTACCAATGGCAAGCATTGGAATACCCCCTATAATAATGGTTCACACACCCTCCCTAAAATAATAAATTTGTTTGTGGTGGTTCTTTAGGTAGAGTGAGGCCTCTATCTAGAGTAAGGGCTCTATTTCTGCCGTGTGGCGAGGCCCTATGTGAAGGGAGGCCTCTTTTTTTTTTTTTTTTTTTTGAAAAACAGTCTCACCAGTGCTAGAGATGTTGTTGAGGGCAGACATCGCTAGCACCTGGGAAGGGGCTCCGTCTATTGGTGGGGAGCATCACCTGCTGGAAAACGGGTCCAGCGTCCCTGATACAGTATAAAACAGTGTGATCCAGAGAAAGATACATGGATGATGACTAGAAGATGCTTGCCAGCATTGATACTCTGGAGACCAGAGGATTGACTGGGCAGGTGTGAATATGACAGTGGGGCTCAGGGAGTGAACCTCTTCGCCCTGTACTGGGCGCCAGATACCTACTGTTGCCGGACTAGTGTCTCCCTCTCCCCAACAGCCTGACACCCTGGAACTCTGTGCCTCCTCTTATGTGCGTACCAAAGTCCCTCTGGTCCATTCTGTGTCCCGCGGGAATCGGAGGGGACCACTGGGGGGCACCAGTGGGTCCACTCTTCCACCCTCCCCCTGCCGTCCACTGGGCACATCAAGGAATTGGCTGTGTCGGGGAGGAAATTGCAGGTCGGAGAAGGCAGAGGTAAGCTAGGAATTAGCTGTGTCGGACCATTCTGTCTCAGAGCCTTTCCTCCAGAGTAAACGGGTGCGATGGGAAGGGGTCCGGGAAGTCCTCTGCGGGACGCATGGGAGTGTTAGGGTCCACGTCTGTCCAGTTCTTGAAGGAAAGGTGATAGTTTCAGGGGGTTTCGTCGCGCATGCTTTCCTCTCTGTCCTCCCCGCCCTTCTCTCCTGACCAGTGAACTCTTCCTACCCATCCCTCCCTCTTCCCCCCTAACCATTCTTCTGCCAACTGAGTAATCTTGGTCGATATGTCCTTGCCTGTGTGGAGGGTATCTAACGTTTTTTTAGTCTCCTGCCACCTTTGCATCAGTTCCATTTGAAAATGGGTTTTAAATAGATCCCTCCTTTCTTCTCCCTCCACCCTATGTCCTTCTAACACCAGCGCGCAACGTTGCCACCATAGGGTCCACAGTACCGTCTTCCTACCCAATGAGAACATGTTCCTTTCGAATATATCTTCTTGTGAGGATGGGTGATGGCCTAACAGGATTGCTCTCCAGTCCCAGGGTCACTCCTGATTTGGGAACATTTGTCTCCAAATCCTATCCCACCATCTCCATGTCAGGGTGGCAGTTGGGCATTGCAAAAAAATGTGTTCGATTGTTTCCGGCCTTTTCCTGGCCGGGAATCCCTGCAGGCAGCGTGTGCACCATGGTAGGGCTTTGCCTTGCTGTTCCAACTGAGTATGGTCGATCAGCCAGTTGTTTGTAGGAAGGCAGCGGTGAGCGATTTGCCATTGGAGCGAGGTGATTTTTGCCGGCGTGCACTTGCAGTCTTGAAACCACCGTATTGGTGTAAGAAGGTTTCTATCCACATTGAGGTGCTTCTGCCACCTATCGACGATCACGTCCTTCAACTCTCGGCGGGCTCTGAGCATCCTATAGGAACCTTTTACCGTGAGACTGGCCAATGTGCGTGGTTTCGTGGCACTGCCTTTGACCCTTATCTGAGGGGTCCATTGCCATTCTAGTGGGTCCAAAGGAAGTATGGACAGCGGGGTCTCGGGCATAAACGCTCGTCGTGCCTCTCCTTCTCCTATTATACAAACCCTGAATAGATGGTCATGCCGAATCCATACAAAGGAGTCTGGGCTGCCCTTCAGCTCTCCTCTTCTTCCTATTGTATACCACTCTACCAGGGCGTCTGCCGGGTGCACAAGGTAAATTTGTCCCACCTGTCCGGGGTTCTCTGTCTGTCCCACCCAGTCCCCGTCTCGGAGTTTGCGTCCTTTTCTGAGGATAGATCGCCACCCAATCGGGAGGGCCTCCGTGATAGTTCCCAAGTTTCTTTTCTATGTTATAACAGTATCTCAGACTCTCCCTCATCTGGTTCTGATCTTTCCAGTCCTTTTTTGCTCCGTCCCACAAATCTCCAACTCTCATGACTCCATTCTTGACCCAGCCTTTCCATGGGGATTCGGAGCTGCATAATATATTGCCATGGGAGTTGGTTATGCGGGAGTTTCCAAAGAGGGGTTGCCTGGCTACCTCCTCCCACCGTTCCGGAGGCAATTTCGGGTGAAATAGAGTTTGACAACTGTCGATTTTATCCGCGACCACTGTCCGGTCAAGTCACCTCCGTCTGTAATAGACTGTAAGGTGATGGTCCTTAGTGGATAAGGTAGGACCATGAGAGTAGAGGTGTGTCGGGGGAAACTACGAAAGTGGTAGGTTGGAAGGGAAGCTCCATAAGAATGTTGCATGGCCAAGTGTCGAAGGCACGCCTTACATGGCACGCCTTACATGGCACGCCTTACATGTCTAGCAATTCAACCTCGGCAACAACCTGGGCTTAAAGCACCAGTACCTTTGTTGGTTCGGAAAATAGTGGGCCTTAGACCTTTTAGGAGGTCGAAACGAAACGACAGCCGCCATTCAGATTTATGAACGGCAGCCATTGTCGGGCCGGACCTCCTAAAAGTTCAGGACTAGGCAAAAACTTGTTGAAACTGGGAGACGAAGGTACTAGTGCAAAAAAAAAAAAAAAAGAAGGAAGAAAAGAGAGATGAATCGAGAGCAGCTCAGTTGGTTAGGGAAGCAAGTGGCATTCAGAAGGTTGTGGGTTCGAGCCCCACAACCGCCTGTGGCGCACTTAGTGCCAACGAGCAGTGATAGTCCGCTTGATACCTCTGATCGGTATTAGCAGGGTCCTTGGCCAACACGGGTGTGAGTGTGAGTGGGTTGTATGTGGTGTGTGGGAGAGTGTTGGCCTTAGACATTGCTGTTATTCTGTTGGGGGCGCACAACTACTGGCAAAATGCTCGGTCTTTGCATTAGCCAGACCCCCACCGGCGGCCCCACCGCATCCTTGACCACCATGGTTGGGGCGGGGGGAAACATGCATCCCCTCTGAGGCGCACAGCTATTGGCAAAATGCTTGGTCATTGCATTAGCCGGATCCCCACCAGCGGCCCCTTCGCATCCTTGACCACCATGGTTGGGGCGGGGGCGCAACATGCATTACCTCTGATGGCTGCAGGGAGACAACAAAGCTATGTTTGCACGGGTCCCCTGTATAAGCCTTAGGAGTAGTGGTAGGTCAGTACTGAAGGTGAACTGAAAGAATTTGAAAGATAATGAACCATTTGAGAGGACTATGAAGAGGGCGGTGCAGCTACTGGCAAAATGCTCGCTCTTTGCGTTAGCTGGACCCCCAGCGGCGGCCCCACCCCATCCTTGACCACCATGGTTTGGGGGGGGGGGCAACATGCATCCCCTCTGATGGCTGGAGGGAGACAACAAAGCTATGTTTGCACGGGTCCCCTGTATAAGCCTTAGGAGTAGTGGTAGGTCGGTACTGAAGGTGAATTGAAAGAATTTGAAAGATGATGAAATATCTATCTATCTATCTATCTATCTATCTATCTATCTATCTATTGAAAGGAACACATTCAAATTCATTGACAAATTCTAAACGAGGCCGGGGACCTCACAATTCAACCCGGGGTTATCCCGGGAGCATGGCCGGCTTAGCTTATGCAATTCATGCCATCATAGAAACAGCACGGCGACGAACTACACCAATGTTCTCAAACACGACGATGAAAGATTTGAGAGAAGAATATAGCGTAGTTTATAAATAAAAAGAAAGAAAAGAGAGTAGCGGAGGGATGCCTCGATCCTTGGTCCTGCGGATATCAATTTACTGCGGTCTAACCTGGGGCTAGTCCTACTTGCACGGCGGTCGCGGCCATAGATAATAGAGATCAACGCCCGAAATCTCCTAATCCATGCGAGTGGGACAATGTCCCTGGCCTCACAGCCCGGGACCTCAGGGGTGACCAGGAACACGTTGGTGTAACAGGAACACGTTGGAGTAATGGACGCAGCAGAAACGACTGTCGATTCCAAAAGAGAAAAAAAAAAAGAAAAAAAAAAAGAAAAAGAAACGACTGTCGAGTCTTGCCACGTGGTTGGTATTTTGCACCAGGAAACAACACCGTCCGGACGCGCGGTTGCCTTGGTGATGGTGTGTGAGAACAGCCGGGGGCGGGGTAGGCCTGTTGGACGGCGTTTTTTGAAAAATTGGGGCGTGCCTGCGCCCGCCGTGAGCGTCGACTCCACGGCGTCTTGTGGAGAAGTCGGCATAAGGAAAGGATAAATGGAGCAGCAAGAATGTTAGTCGCAGTGCGGACGGACATCATTCAGACCGACAGGAGGGTGGAACGTCGACGGCAACGCAGAGCCCGCACCGCATGCAACGCACACAAGGAGAGCGGGCAGCGCACCGAAGGTCGAGAGTGTCACCCAGCGCAGAAAGTGAGTTCCGCACAACGCAGAGAGGGAGGTCGGCATAACTCAGAGAACGAGGTCTGCATAACGAAGAGAGGAAGGTGAGTAGCAACAGCTTGAGGGGCAGACTAGGCAGGCAGGCAGCCAGCCAGCCAGCTATGGCGCGTGTTACGGCCTTGTTTGTGACCACTCTTCTGCTCTGCCTTGATTCTTTCGTCTTCGGTGACCCGGCGATCGCCGGCGACTTCGAATTGGTGGGGAGGAATGCGACGGCTGCGGACTTCGTCTTCACAGGCCTGCGCAATGTCCCGTCGGCGGGACCAGGTCTCGGTTTCACGGCGGTTCCAGTTAACTTCCGGTCTATGCCGATCCTCAGAGGCCAGGGGATCTCGTACACGTACTACAAGTACGCGCCTTGCGGGCAGAACCCGCCTCACCTTCATCCACGTGCCGCGGAGCTGCTCTATGTTATCAAGGGCAATTTGACCGTTGGCCTAGTGGACAGCAGCGAGAACTTGTACGTAAACGATCTGAAGGCAGGAGATGTCGCCGTCTTCCCGCGCGGCTTAGTGCACTGGCAACAGAACCTGAGCAAGGAAGAGACCATCGCCATCCTGGCCTTCACTGATTCCAATCCGGGAGTCGTGGCAGTTAATCGCGCGTTGTTCAGCTCTAAGGTGAACGTACCGGACTATGTTTTGCAGACTGCGTTCGGTTTGTCGAAGGGTGATGTGGGCAAGATCAAAGCCAGTACGCCGCTGGGAGCGCCGCTCGGGAAGTGCATTAACGAGTGTGGCGGTTGTTATTGATATTGACCAACCTTTTTAGGGTTTGGCGAAACGAGAGGAAAGGAAATAACACCCTATGTTCCTTTTCGTGCCCTTGTGCCCTTTTCTTTCTTTTATTTTTGCCGTTGGTATCTCATTCATACGTTATGTTACGTCGTGTTTATCGGTATTTGCTCGCCTCCCTTCATAAGCTTTGAAATGTTCACCCACTTTCGATTTTCGAACCTACTTCATAAATGAACACTTCCACTTTTAGAAAGGAGTTTTCTTGCCCTTGTTTGTGTCAGTCGAGTGCTATGTTTAAACCGCTTATGACACACGTTTAATTTCCCCACTGCCCCCCTCTCTCTCTCTCTCTCTCTCTCTCTCTCTGTCTCTCTCTCTCTCTCTCTCTCTCTCTCTCTCTCTCTCTCTCTGTCTCTCTCTCTCTCTCTCTCTCTCTCTCCATATTCCTACAAATAGAGCGAAAGAAAGAGCTGGGTCAATCCAAGTACCCTGCCCACATGAATCAATCTCATATCCGTTCGTCATGCACTCTTCTTTTCCACTTCTCCTGCAATTACTTTCTCCTGAGATTCCCAGTATCCTTCTCCTCCCCCTTTCCCAACAGGAGATAGACTGCCAAAAATTATTCAGACCACACATATGACCAAAGGAATCAACGCTTGATGTTGACATTGGCGGACTTTTGAGTGTAGCCGGAGTCAGGGGGGCTAATACCCTTACAAGTGCCCCCATTTCTACAATTGACACAGCCATGGCAACAGTCGTCATGATGGTGCCGATCCCGAGTGAGCAGAGCGCGCGCCTGTCAGAGTGAATTTTGGCTGCCGCGGGTCTCTCGACCAAATGGGGCCAAGGCTCGTGAGCTAGTCGATCGGTCAGCCTGCACACACGCTGTTGCGCCCCACGCAGAAATTTAAAATAACTGGGATACCCGGCTTTGACCACAAAAGTCGAAGACAGTCAGACTTGAGATGAGCAGTACGCGCCTCGGCACGCCACGCTGTAGAACTGGGAAAGTGTGAAATTAATAACCACCCCCCACCCCGAGGGGAAATAGGCGGAAATATCGGTGAGGAATGAACGATCGGGGCGATGAAAATAGAGTTACTAGGCGATACCATGCTGACGGGCCAGGAGCTCGACGACGTGTTGAATTTGTCATATGATTGCGCTCGACCTTATGGTCGGGCTTGTTAGGACACTGGAACACTAGCGCATATACCAAACGATTTATTTGCCATGTGTCCAAATGGGGGCGGGGGGTAGAAATTAATAAAAGCCCCGACCAGGCGGCAACCGGGGCAGCTACTAAAGCAAAAACGAGAAAGAGGACTAAGTGATTTTCCTTGGCACAAGGGCCCAACATTGCCAACAAATCTCTTCATAGTACAGTGTCACACATTAACGCTATTCCCTCCACTTCATAGTACATACCCAAGCTGCCAAGCAGGAGCTAGCCCAGTAGGTAAGTGACGGAGCTCGTAAGCAATGGATCAGCATGTAGGAATGGAGCCTCAGGCTGGCAGACGCGCACAGTTCCAAGCTTTGCCCAAGTGGGGGACAGTGGAGGTCACCGTGGTGCAATTATTTTGTGGTCTGGGAGCCCCTAGCCTTGGAAATTTTGGTAGTGAGCCATAAAACTTCTGAAGTTTTTTTGTCTGGGATGTGCACTGGCGTATAAACGACCACTAGCATATCCGAGCCTTGGAAATTTTGGTAGTGAGCCACACAAAACTTTTGGAGTTTCCTGGGGCTGTGTACTGGCGGTATGAACGACCAGTACCCGGGCCCGGGCCTGGAGGCAGTCCACGGCATGCCACCAGCCATTGGGACCCGGTAGGACACGCAAAATTTTCAGACTAGGCAAGTTGGGCAACAAAACATTTTGTGCAAGGCTGGGGCCGTGTACTGGCCGTCTTAAGCCACCACTTCCCCCGACAGCCGAAAACCGACGGCCTCGTGACGTAGGGCTGGGTTTTCCAGAAGTCTTAGAGTGACGTCCGTTTTTGGGAGACAGCCTCAGTAGTCCCGCACATCTTTGAAACCAAGTCGGAGAAGTTCAACCAAGTCAGAGAAGCCAGAGGGTGGCAGCATACGGTACGACCCCCCAAAACGGGTGCTAGACATAGACGCACATGCACAGAATCTGATCCACAAGGTGCACACTAAAGCCTCCCCCCAGGTCCAGAAAGTGAACTACAACCTCCCCCCAGGTCCAGAAACATGCACAGATCCAGAAGGTGCGCTACAGCCTCCCCCCAGGTCCTCCCTCCTCAGTCAACTTCCCCCCTTCATGCCCATGCTAGGACTGATTGCGCACATTGCAAAACCAAAGTGCAGACAAGGGGCCTCTCTCCAGAAGCCGTTTTGTCGTTTTCTGCAGTTGCTGAAGTCAACCGGGGACTTGATCCCATGACCTGTAGTGTATTAACTTTGTGGTATTTGACTGTTTTTGAGCCGTATCAGGCTTGAACCTTTAACCTGTCGCAAGTAGCCTCTACTTCGTAGTCTTAGGCCT